AAGATAACAGCACGAGTGGAGGCCCACAGATGAGTGGGACACTGGCTGAATACGTAAGATTTAGGTTATAAAAGATAAAGCTGATGATGTATTCATCAAAATGATTGCGTGCGATTTGAGGCAAAAAGTTAACATAACGCGGTTTCTTTTACTCTTTGCAGGCTGCACGCTAAAAAGCACAACATGCATCGTATCATTACTCCAAATGTGACTGACAGTCAAGTATTTAAACATTTTAGTGCTGTGTGGATGAGCCTGCATGCTGACTCTGTGCTCACAACCACACAAGGACATCCAGTCTCAGTGACCTACAACATACAGAACCAAGAACAGAAAATATCTGTTGGCTTTAACCTTTAACACACAGGGATTGTGCACATGTTGTGCTGTATATTCACTTCTGAGCTTTTAGCCATATTTAATATGAACATGTACCACTGGAACGCTACATATGACTGAAAATAAGAACAAAGCTCCACCTTGAGTGGTTCAGAGCGCCAAAAGATCAAATTGTTGGATGGTTGGACTTTATTATTCAAGTGACTTAAAAACATTTAGAGAGACTTTATAGGGTTTCCTGCAGTTACATGTAACACTTTGGTAGTGGACAAGCACACACGATGTCGTACCCACTCGGCTCTCTGTGAGCTAATGTGACAACTGAGCTACGGTGGACATGAATGATTCACAGCCAAAAATGAATGACAGACGTAGGGGGGACAAAGCGTCTATGAGCGCGCTCTCAGAAGCAGCAACATTAACTGAAAGAGAAGACACTTCTGTGAGGATGAAGCCGTTTAACACGATGCTTACAAGCTCCTCCATTGATCAGTGGAGATCTGTTGTAACATGTGATACATGCAGCAACATGCAGTAACATGCAGCATCTTCACAGTGGGAGTGGAAGGAATGCCGTCCCTTAAAGACCTTTGTCTGTCACATGTTCTTATACACGCCAAAGCATTGCATGTTACCTAAATCTGTGGTCTCTAGCGCCTCCCGGTGTTAAGCTACAGCACCATGATTCATTTTCAGTGTAAATGTAACATCATGCAGAGGATGCTCCACACAAAACACATCGTTTCCTTGTAATTGAAAGTAAAAAGACAACAACAGTTTTATTTTCATTTATACTGAATTTGTTTGTGTTTTTATGGGACTATTCCTTTGAGCTTAATAAATAATGTTTAATAGTAAGAAGAAATAAAAATGCCTAAATTAAGTCATTTCTAGAATCTATTCTATTACGCACAGGAGCCAGAAGCATGACTGCAGATTAGAACTGACAGAGTCCTGAAGCACCTACAAAAAATGCTAACTGATTACTTTTACACACTAAACCAGGGGTCGGCAACCCGCGGCTCCGGGTGGTTTGCAAAAATAAATTATAAGTATTTAGCTGAAGTGTATTTTATTTGTGTTTAGTTCTTTCTAAATTGGAAGATTATTGTGATTTTGAAATATAAAAATATTTTATTATTTTTTC